TCTGCATTTTTTTTTTTTTTTTTTTTTCAAAGAAAAAAGAAAAAGAATAAATCGATACTTACTCTCCGGTCTTGATTACATGCCAGAACAAACATGCTCCCGAAATAAATTATCTTTCTCCTCGAGGACTGGTACTCGTAGGAGAGCTTCAAAAAAAGCCAAGCCTCGCGATATTACCGAGCCATAAATACATCCTCTTATCAATCGTCTATAGCTCCACTGGCCAATAAATAACTCCCAATACAATCTAATCCCTATATAAGTATTACACCCGCACCATATGTGTATACATACATTTGTACAGTGTACCCCCATCGAGAACATAACGGATCGCATGTGTATATATATAGGCATGAGCGGGGAAGTGTGTGTGTGTGTACGATATGCATGCATGTGTCCTACCACTCCTATACCGTGGAGCCTATGTAGTATGTACCGATTAAAGGCCAATAATCTAACAGAGACGCTCGTGGACGTTGCGTTTTTCACGTAGGCCCTCCTAAGTATACATATGTATACATATACACCTCAGCTTGTCCGTCCTTCCGCGTTACCATAAGAAACGCACACCCCACCCACGCAACAGTACCATGTATTTTAGCATGTGTAAACGATTGCAGGAGGAGAGCGGTGGCGCGAGCACGGATGTGTCGAACGTGAGCAACCGCACGTACGGGTGTTTGCCGGCCGGCGTCAGTTGTGCCGGCGGCTACCTGTTCGAGTCGCAGCAGCACTTTCTCCTGCACGGGTCGAGCTCGATGATGATGATGATGAGCCCGTCCCCGGAGCGCAGCAGCGTCGTCACCGAGTGGCAACTCGTGTGCGAACGGGCCCATCTGCTCCGGGCACTTAGCGAGCTCTACTTCGCTGGGTTGCTGCTGGGGGGCCTGGTCGCCGGTTTTTTAGCCGACAGGCTCGGTAGGCTGCCTGTACTTGCTGTGTGTCTCTACGCCCAGGGTGCTCTAGCCGTGGCCCTCAATATCGTCGAGGTGAGCTTTATTGTATATGTATATGATATAATTTGTTTTACTATATTGAAGAGGGTGGATATATATATACTTTTTACCTTTTGTCACAACTTAAAAGTCCATTTAAATAAAATAATGAGCACGTGTAAACAGAAGTACCAGCTGTTCCTGGTGTTCCGGGGCCTGCAAGGCTTCTTCATGCAGGGCCTCGAGAGCTGCACGTTCATCCTGTGCATGGAGCTCTTCCCTGCCAAGTACAGGACCCTCGTCGCCCTGGTCGTCCTCTCGATACGATCCCTCGGTCTGATGCTCATCTCGGGCTTCAGCTACTTCATTCCCGACTGGCGGATCCTCCAGCTCATATCGTGCGTGCCCACCGCCATAACCGTCCTCTACATATGGTTCGTGGGTAACAAAGAAAAAACAATAAAGGTCAATAAACCATAACGTAGCGCCAATTGCAGGCTGATCCCGGAATCTCCACGCTGGCTGATAGCCAAGGGCAAGACGATAGACGCGCAACTGCTCCTCGAGAGGATGAGCAAGTACAACAGCTTGTTGGGCTTGAGCGACAGGAAGACTCGTAGCGATGGCAAAGAGACACCGCTCAAGCCCAAGAGGAAAGCAAAGACCACGACGACGACGACGACGACGCGGGTGACGAGCGACGACGCCAAGTGCGCCGATCTCGAGAAATCGCTACACGAGTCCTTGAACCTACTGTCGACGGCCGAACAGGAGCGAGGTAACATTTTGTGCACATTGCGCGTACAGTTTTGTGGTCCAGGGAATAAATGGATCGAGATGCTGTTTCAGCCGACGAAGAAGCGAGCAGGGCACCGACGATCGTAGTCACCGATGACAAGAGCCGTCCTCGAGGGGGTGACAAGAGCGACGAGCCAATACCACCCCTTGGGGGATACTCGCCCGTGACGAGCAGAGAGACGACTCCACGACAGGGCAGCCGGAGCGGAATGGCCGGGTTTCTCAGGAGGTTCATCGGCCGTACCTGCGTGCTTCTTATGTTTGCGTGGTGGGTACTGTTGACATTTTATTCTGTGCCTCTCCTACAAACACAGACAAGAAAAAGAAAAAAAAAAAAAAAGAAATGAGTGAAAAAAATGCTTGCAGGTTCGCGTCCTCGATAGCGTTCCACAGTCTGGTGAGCATGCCCCAGAAGTTGAGCTCCGAGCGCCACGTGTCCCTGAGCTTGGCCGCGGCAATGGAGATCGGTACTTTCGTGCTGAGCTACCTGTTGGCCACGTCGCGCTGCGGCAGGCGCTGGGGCCTCAGCATCGGGCAGATCCTCGCTGGTGCGGTCTGCGTGGCCATCGCGGTCATCTCTTTCAACGCCGACGACAGGTCGCCCCTCAAGTGGCTCGGTAAGTCTTGCCGATTTTTTTTTACTTTTCTTCGCATTCTGATGGGTAAAATTGATCATAAAATTAAAAATAATACTTTATATACTTATCCTCCACAGCCACGGCGAAACTAGCGGCAATCGTGATCGGTCGAATCGTCAACATCGTCTCCTTCTTCATCCTTCGATTGGTAATGATCGAACTTTTGCCGACGACCTCGCGAGCTACCGGGGTCGGGTTGTGCATAGGCGCTGAAATGATGGGAGGCCTCCTCATGCCCTTTATCCTCAAGCTCAATAGATTCGTGCCTGTGAGTAAAACCTTTTTTTCTTTTATTCCTTTGTTGAAAGTGTATTTTAAATTTAAAAAAAATAAAATGTTCACATGTAGGAGCTTGGGCGAGTCGTGATTGGCGTCACGTGCATCTGCTCGGGTCTGTTGGTTCTGTCTCTTCCGGAGACTTTGCGCGCCGTTTTGCCGGACACCGCGGAAGAAGCCAGGGAACTCGTCGGGAGCATCGGCGATGGCAAAGACGATGACGAAAAAGCCAAACGACACACGAATAATTTTCAAGAGCATTCCACGGACCTCGATACCGAAGCTTCATAGACATAGAACGCAAGGGGGGAATGCGTCCGTTTGCGTTGGGTGGGACGTTGGTCTCTTGTTTCGAAGCTCGATGACTCCTCGTGATTGTAAATATTTACATATGTACATACATTGTATGGAACATAAACGTTGTTATGTGGCTGAGTAACCAAAGTGCGTGCAACAGCAGCGTATGTGTAAAAATGTAATATACTATACTTTTTTCCAACAAGTCATTCCTATAACTGTAGTAGCTTTTAAATGTGCTGCTATAATCTTTTTNGTACGATTTGATTCGGTATTAATTGGTATTGGCAACTAGTTAATGGACGACGTATTGCTGTATTTATTTCTTTTTTTTTTTTTACATGTAACGATTGTAACAAATGAATGTAGATGTTAGATTTAATTTTATGTACTAACACTTTTTACTTGAACTGTGAAGAAAAAATGTAACCAGTTGCGTTGATTTGATCCAACCTTGGAATAAAAGTGGATGGCACAGATTAATCACCAAGTATTATGATTACAGACTAATAGTTGACTTTTAACTCATATTCTGTTTCAATTCATTGTACAAGGATACTTAATAATTAACATATTTCTAAGGGAATGATGGAATTGAAAGAGGATGTTGAAGATAAGGTACGTGTTAATGGCTGATAAGGAATAAAAATCAACCTGAATGAATTTTAAACTTATACAAAATGTTTTTTTTTATTACTCTAGAAGTAAGAACATTTATGATTTTATAAATTATTAGCGAATTTTTTTTTTTTTTTTTTTTTTGAATTAAGTGTCCTCGGCTATTTTTTAATAAATATATAAAAACAGCTTTATTAGTGAAATATCACAGAAGAACTCAATGACCTTGTCAAGCCACACAATTCTTAAGAACAAAGTTAAAAACATAGTGCTCACGAGTTATTAAGGCTTTTCATTGTCATTTTATCCACCATACCAGAAAATAAACAATATAGCCACACTTATTAAGTCTATAATAATTTGGAACACCTATGGTTTGGCAATTCCATTATTTTGTTGAATGCTTGGTGGTACTTGTTCGGCGGCTGTCTGCAAGAGCCTTGTGCGCTTTCTTGTGTAGTGTTGCCAGAGCAGAATTTGCTGATCATCAATGAACTTGGTACACTGTGAACTAACCACTTCTCGTCTAAAATGCTCGTATTGCAGAAGATCAAGAAAGTACAGACACATTGGGTACTTTAAGTATTTTGCATACTCTGGCTCTTTCCAGTACAATAAGTACTTTAAATAATTGATAAATGTTGAATCCTTGAAATAGCCACGCTGAGCTAAGACTGTAAGAGATACAATATTGCTCAAAACTTGTGTTATGTTTTGACTTTTGTTTTTGTATAAATAATCCTTTCAAAATAGATTTGAATTACGAGAAATGCCAAGAAATGACTACTATCAGAAAAACAAACGAAACGAAAGCAGAATAAAATAAATTGAGTGAAATTGAATTCACTAGAGTGAAAATTCATTTGAACACAGCGTTTACTTGGAAAATAAATTATTTAGTGCTTACAATTCAAGTAATTTGGATTTGCTAGACACTGAACAAACTCCAACTCAACTTGAAAACGCATCCGCTGCTGGTCATCCGTTTCTGGTACTCCTGCGAATGCAAACGTTCATATAAAAGACGTTTATTAAGAAATTAAAAAAAAAATCACTATATTTATTGGTGACACTTAGATGAGTAAGAATGTTTGTTTACACAACAAACGCAATAAGTTAAGGTTAAGGTTAGCCCAATCACAGATACGAGCAAAAAACACTGAAGGACCCGAGAAAAAGCTAAGTACAAGGAGAGATCTCTTGATATTCAAAAACACTCACCGTTCATTGCGACAAAAGGCTTTCTTCCTCTCAAAATATTTGGATCATCAAACCGGTTCATATTATGTCCAAACTAACGCGTAAACAGCCTAATTGTAGCCTAACGAGACACTAGACGCGCACACGCGACTGGCCAGATTAAATCAATTGAGTGGGGCAAAAAAAAAAACGAAAAAGAAAGTATTAAAATGATTACAACAAATTATAATGACGCAACTCTTGTCATCGTCAGGAACACACCAACATCTCTGACTATACCTACGAAAAAAACCAAATATATCAACCTGTATCAATAACAAAATCACGCAAAATGAAAATACAAAATGTACAATATTTAGAGATGGCGCTTCAGTAAAACTTTTTTTTTTTTGCTTTTTGCTCCGTCTGCTTACAAGCGCGCGCATTTTAAATCACACACCTGATGATGGGATTCGAGATTTCGTAATAAGAGAGAATTTTCTTATGATTTTAATACTTTTTAACAAAATTTTAGGTATAAACAACAACTTTATCTGCTTAAAAAAAAAATTTTTTTTTTCCTTATTCCAAACAGTTTTGGAAATACCTAACTGCTCTCTCTGCGGCCTCTCTGTGCACTTTGAAGCGATATATACTATATGGGTATATTGAGTAATATGCTTTAACGTAGATAGGGTAATGTACAGTAATATAAAACTTTACTTCAGAAGAAAATTGGTGACAATGAGTATACCTCTTACTAGAGTGTTGGTGGTATATATACATATATATCGTGAGTACGAAATGTGGTCGATGCGAATGATGCGATGCGTGCTTTGCTATACCTATACTGCCCGACTCCGAAATAGACTTGTGATGTGCATTTGTGTGAGGATAAGACGTGGATATCAAATACTTGAGCTTGAGAGCCATCAGGTAGAAAAAGCGCGAGGGAAAAAAGAGGCGGAGGAATTAATGTTAATGTTACAAAAGCCGCGGGAATGCGCGAATTATTTGTCGTCAGCTGCTGTTATCTTTTTTGCACAAGTGTAGGTATAGCCTATATACCGGCGTCCCTGCAGTCTATTGAGACGCGAGAGTCCATCATCATCATCAGGCAGTAGTGGCACTAGGTATTTACATACCAGTAGTCCATACTTCAGTGTACTGGTCCAGTTCAGGGTACCTAATACCTAAACAAAACACACATACCTGTAGACCTATACACACATTAAGCCACTTATAAAAAGTGCCCACACACACACCTCTCCCGCGGGAGAGAGATCATTAGATCATCCTCCTTCGCAGTGCTTATGCACATCGTCGACATCAGCAATGTCGGAGGAACAACAGAGGACGCCAACGAAGACCCCCGAGCGCAGGATCCTCGGCGAGTTGGGCAACTCGAATCCCGACTCTCCCACCGCGAATCTCCGGCTCCTTACCGCCCTGGCGACCAGCCTGAACAGCCCGTACAAGGAATCATCCTCTAGCAGTGGTATCGATCGCGCAGACGAGGAGAGCACGGTACAACAGGTGCTGGATGATCCTCCGCCTGCCCAGCAACAGGATTCCGGCTGCACCAAGCTACTGCCGAGGAAGGAAAAGTCACTGACCCTATTGTGCAATAAGTAAGCATGCTGATCTCTGATAGGTCGTTTTATGAATTAAAACTTACTTGTATTCGCCTAAATCCGTGGGTAAACAATACATTTCGGAGTTGAGTGCTATATTTGTACGAGATTTTATTAGTTTTCATTTATAAGGCTCGCGTTGTTTCTTGAGGTTGCCAAACAGTTCATAGTTTGTTCACTGAACTAATGCATGCAAATAATTTTGGTTTCCAGGTTTCTAAATTTGTTTCCTCTGGTAGTCCAAGAAAATGTAAAGAAGGAAATTTCTTTGAACACAACCGTTAAAGCTTTAGGAACGGAGAAAAGAAGGATATACGATATCATAAACGTCTTGGAAAGCTTAGAGATGGCTTCGAAGGCTGGGAAAAATCTGTACCACTGGCATGGACAGTCGCGTTTGCCTCTTACTTTGGCAAAATTAAAGATGTCAGCCATCGAGCTTGGACTGGAGAAGCAAATTCAAGAGATACAAAAAGTCCGTAGAGCATACATTGAAGCTTCTTGTCATTCCTGCAACAGTTCACCTGCCAAATCAATGGTTCCTCAGAGTCCAGTTGTTAATAACACTTCGCCCGATAACTCGGTCAAAGAAGACAAAAGCTTAGGACTAATGTGCAAAAAATTTGTGATGCTCTTTTTGGTTTCCTTAAAGGTAAACATTGTTTTGGCCATGATTTTAACTTTTGTTTCATTTTTCTTACAATTGAATATTCATTTTTACAGAACGGTGTTATAAATTTGGACATAGCAGCTCAAGTTTTATTTAATGAAGCAGATTCTGTAGATGCAACGAAAACTCCGTGTCCACCAAAGTGTAAGACAAAAGTTAGAAGACTTTATGACATTGCCAATGTTTTGTTAGCCATTGGACTTATAGAGAAAGTTGACATGTATAATTGCTTTCTTCGAAAACCTATTTTCAAATATACTGGACCTACTGTTGATTGCATTAATTATGACATTGGTAAGCAACGAATAATTGAATTAAATTTATTTCACTTGAAAAGATTTTAATTCAATTTCTTACTTAATTTACAGAAACTCAGCCATTGGTTGGAATGACTACACCAAGTAAAAGAAATCCTAGGTCCTCTGGAACTCGTCATTCAAGTAGAATTGCTGGTAGACTGTTCTCGAGTACCCCATCTGGGAACAAACGAGAGCCAAAAAAAAAAAAACTCTTTGGTTCAGGTATTGCATGATCAAAATATTTTGTCATTTTCAAAATTTTATTTAATTATTGAACGAAAAATCCATTACATCAGACAGCAAATTGGAGCGAACTTATAGTTCACCGTGTTTTAACTCAACACGCGGCAATGGTCCAAGTATCAAGTACCAAGACGATCCATTATTCCGAGTCGTTGAAATGGAGTACAAACGGATGAAGTTTAGCGAAAATAAGCCAAAGGTTTGCACTACTCTTTTTCCGAGACACAGTTCTGACTCGTGCATTTCTCCAACGAAAATTGAAGACAGTCCTCAAAAAGCAAAGGATTCAAACGTAGTAGAAACCACTCCAGCGGTATCCAACGAATCAAGCAACTTAATCACTATTCTTCCAATGGTCAGAAATGATAATCTAGTCAGTGAACCGCAAAGCAGTAACATTAGTGACATTAACGTGACGCCGATCGGTACAGTACGGATAAATGTACCACTGGAATTGAAGATCACGCCAATTGCGCTTCAACAAAAAACTCCAAAGTTCGTTAAACTTTCAAAGCTGGATTTGAAAAAGCTCGTGCCTGTTTCGCACGAGGATATAAAAATTAAACTGGCATCCATGAAACCAGTAGCAGTAACAGCTACGACGACAAGCACGACGACAAGACCAAACGTGCCGATATTGACGCGAATCCCAACCAAGGATATTTCGCCAGGTGAAATATATGCATGTCAGGCTATCAAAGTAGGTGACACCGTGCAATTCGTCCCTATTAAGAACAATAGTAGTAACAGTGATTAACATAAGTAAACAGCTATATCTACAATAATCGTGATTCATAAATGAAAGGTTGTGCCTTCCTATAACTCGAGACGTAATCAAGTGCTACAATCTAAGAGAATTATGTATTTATAGATTTTTTATAGATTACACATGAGAGATTATTTATATTGTGTATGTAAGTCTGGTGATTTACAACTTACATATATTTTTGACGAAAATTTTCATAATCATCAGTCCTGTTATAAATGGAGTCAAACTATACATTATATATAACTGCAGGCTGAATTCAAGAAGATATCGAGTCGCTTTTGTTTTACCAAAGCATATTTTGTTTGATCTCTCGGCTTAGACTGTTGAAGATTTATGAAATCAAGAAAATTTATATCACATATATTTTGTAGCCGTTAGAGATGCTTTATGAAAGAGTAAATATTTGTTTTTTTGTGATTATATTTTATGCATTGATGCGTGACAGTAGTTTTTCTTTTTTTTTTTTTTTTTTTTAAAAAATTATCAAATCTAAAATTGTTATTACAATTATTGTATAGAGGGGAAAAACGTAGTTTTTAAGAATACATATACACATGGATATATAAAATATATATATGGAGTATATGTAAGGTGTCCTTCCAAAAACAAATGTATCAATAAGTTTTTTAATTTTTAAAAATAATCATACATTATCTAACACGATTAATTTACATAAAAAAATTTCTTTATTTACAAGTTGTTCATTAAATGTTTTTTTCACAATAAATCGTTCTTATTATTACAATACATGTAATGTACATATAAAAATTCGTTAGTTAGCCTGAGGGTGAAAAAATTGATTTCTTGTCTGCACAAGCAACTGTACAAACACCACTGTCATCCTGTATCAACTATGACAGCATAATTACGTGATATAGAGCATATTTTTTACTTTTATCTCCTTGAAGCATAATATACTATTACTTAGCAGTGAAAAATTCATTTCCAATACAAATTCTAGAAAATAATTTGATTCTAATAAATTCTATCAAGACCTTCAAATTCTAACTTTTGATCGACTTTTCCATTAATCTTTATTGTATTTATCCTCAGCATTGTTTGTTGGAATCTGTCAACTGCAAAAATTATACTTTCATGAATATTAAAACAGAATCACGTTTTTTGAGGTTCAATGTACATTACTAGAAAGTAATACGTTAATTTACATTTTAATAAAATTAATTTTGAGCTCTCAGAAAGTACTTACAGTGTATTCTACGATACTGTTTCCGTTTTCTAAATCTGAAGTGGGTAACAGTGTGTGAAAACGTCTTATCAATAACGGTGGCGTCAATGGAAACCAGTTCTCTGTTGAGTATTGGCCTCCCAAGTAGTGTGAAATCTTTACTGCCTAGCAACAAAACCTTTTCCAAAGTAACTTTGTCACCAGGATTCGGAGGCCAGTAGCCTCTGACAACAATAAGATCACTTTCTGTGACCTTGTACTGTTTACCAGCTAGATGTATAACAGCAAACAATCGTCCAGTCTTGTCTTCTGTTATTTGCCTGTTTATTTCTGCACACACTTCTGCAATGCCAAATCATTGATTCAGCAAAAATAAAATAAGTGAACAATTGATTTTGCGTGGTACTTACCAACAGCTTGTTTCTCTTCTTCCTCAGTTGGGTCTATAACTTCAGATTGGTACTCTGGATATTTGTTGGCCCATGGTAAGGATGTTGGCACATTCCTCAATTTCCTGTACTTCCTGATCTGCTGGTCCCAAAAAGTTGGCACTGATAACACAAAAATAATTTAAAAAAATAATCTCACACAACACTAAACAAATGGTAAATTAAACAGGTTATCCTCGCTTGTTTACATGATGTTTCAGCAACTCGGAACGTATTGAAAAAACTCACCCAAGGGTGCTTGTTTCGGTAGAAATTCCGAGCCCAGGTGTTTTGCAGAAGTAAGTACTCTGAATCCCAAAAGACGGGACAGATTGACAAGCAATGCCATTGCTATTAAACTAATTTGTTTCGAAGTGCAACATCCGCATAATTCATTCCACTGACCGCGGCTGAACTGGAAACTTTTCTGCTAGGCGAACATAACATATATATACACAACCAACCCTATACTTTATTTTGGAGTACAGCATTTGTGACACTGGTTGTTGTTTCTTGTAATAATACGTTGTTAATTATTAGACTATTACGTTTGTTTTCTTCATTTTCCATACATAGAGCCAGTACGTAAGAGTCGGATTTTTGTGTCAGTTAGTTTAATATATAATCGGTATACTTACCGATTCAATGTCATTTTACTTGTTTATTTACATTTCCGTAGAGACGTGTACTGTACAATTTGGCCCGTGTTCTGGAATAAGTGGTGACTGTTGGGTTAAAAAAACGATTTATCCAGTTATGAAGCATCACTGAAATATTATATTTATAAATTTAAAAAACTTATCTCAGGTAATTATTATTTTATTCATATAACCCCACGTTTTACCATTTGCTCTTGACAGCGAAAGAATATGGAGTTTTTTGCATTGCAGAAAAAAAATGATGCGAAATATCGTGGTTGGCTTGCAGCGGTTGACGCTAAGTAACAAATCTATCACTGGAGCTCTTGGGTCTTTGCAATGTCTTCAGAAAAAACAAAACGTTCAGGAAAGATACATTCACATACCTAAGATGAATACACCCCAGCATTTTCTTGATTATAATAAAAAAATGTATCCTATACAAGAACTAGATGAGGAAAGGAGACCCGCTGTGAGTTTAAATTTAAAACATTCAATTTAACCGTTGAAAAAATTTATTTAATAATTATTTTATAGTTTGTGTGCCATAGAAAATGCAATATAAGATATACCCCAAAGAAAATGTTATACATAGCTTGGTTTGTGAGAGGAATGACTATTGATGAAGCACTAAAACAACTGAGCTTTGTAGCAAAGAAAGGAGCAGCCATTGCAAAAGAAACTCTTTTGGAGGCTCAAAAGTTAGCAGTAGAAGAGCACAATGTCGAATTCAAAAGTAATTTGTGGGTTGGTAAGTGGTAGTTTTGTGATTAATTTGATTGATTAACTTTTAAGGCAATATTTAACATAAATTTAAGTAAAGATTATCAAAGTATTAAGAGTTTACTCATAAAATACTCTTGTTGTAGCTGAATCCTTCTGTACAAAAGGTTTTGTAGTTAAGGGAAAAAGGCGACACTCTCGAGGTAAAGTTGGGGAAGTAAGGTACACTTTCTGTCATTACTTTGTACGACTAGAAGAAGGTAAACCACCTAAAGATTACTATAAACTTGGTCACAAGACTTCTGATGAAGCTTTGGAATCTTACAAAGAGAGTTTACGACAGCGCAGAATCCCTCAATCTTTGTAAATTACAATAGAAATAAAAATCATTAAAATTATTTAAACATTATTTTATTTATTTTTTCAATGTAGTATAAGACAATGAAATCGTTTTTAGAACATTTAAGTAAAAAAAAAGTCTCCCAGTTGATGACACCAGTGATATTGTTTACAACTTCAACTTAGTTCTCTTCCAGTGACGCCTCTTGGCATTGTACCTAGAAAAATATAAAATTGCATTTTATAACTTCTTTTGAATCCTACAATAACAACGCGCTTTAGGATGCATTCCAAATGATATACTTGATTTAAAATTACTCAGGAGAAAGACTATTTTGATCCACCATAAACAAAGAAAAACAAGCTTTTAAATCAATTATTTTACTGGAATTGTCTTCCAAAATTAATTAGATGTACTACAAAGCAAAAAAAAAAGTTTGAACGAATAGTACTTAGCACTACTTAATTTCTATTACCATACATGTTGTCAAAATTAATCAACATAATGAAACTTCAGTGTAATGAATACTTGGAGCAATAATTTTACACTGACTTTAAATCTTAGAACAAGTTAGGGAGTCCAAACAAAAATGAAGCATAAAAATTTTCACGGAAGAAGTTTAAAAAAAAATTAGTTATGGTACTGTGTTGACTGGCAACATAACCTCTTTGAGAATTGATTCGTTTATGCAGACAATTGCAGCAGCGGTATTACTACGCACGATTATCAATAATTAATTTAAGAATAGATGAACAAAACGTGGATTTATTTGAAGCCTAGTATTAAAAGTAAATGTTTACCTAATGGTGTTGCCTGTGCGCATTCGAACCCATTGCGGGATGGGCCTGTTTTGCTTCAGCTTTTTGGCAAGCTTACGCTTAATAATAAACGTCTTGTGGGCCGACTGGAATAGAAAAACAAGTGAATAAACATTGGACAACTACTTTTTCTTTTTAATAATTATTGACAAGTTACGGATGATTCAGATCTTTGAAGATTGCTATTTTTGTAAAATACGAGATGCTTACCATCTTGTTGAACGGCTGGTCTGTCAAAACGAACGAGACCTTAAACCCTAACTACTCTACAGTGTACACTTAACACAAATAACACCAGATCCGGAAAATTTCCCGATACCGCACTTGCGCTCTTGCTATAGGTACTTGCATACTTGCATTCCCTAGGCCAAACTAGCGCGCTAGGGTCCCTAGCCAGTGTATTTTAGGATCAGCGCCATCTAGCGTTGCGGATTTCGCGGACTGATGCAAACTATTTTCTAGGGGAACCGTCTTGAAAAAGTCCCTAGATTCTAGGAATTTTTAGAAGCAGTAAATCACTAGGCGTATATATAGATATACAGTAGGTCAAAAATCGCCGCGCCGACGTGAAGGGTCTATTTGCGTGCTTCGAAATACGCAATACTGTGCGGGATTGATGGTCACATGCATACTAAAATTTAATAATACCTATAATATCAGAAAAGGTATAACAAATATCCCCCACACATGCCACGCGTTGGTTGTATTTCGTTTATATTGAAGCATTTGAAGCTCGAAGCACGCAATTAGATCCCATATATAGACATTGTCGGTCATCGGTGGCGTCAGTCAACTGTCGGTACAGCAGGGCCGATATTTTTGTTGATGTACCGACGGTCAACTCGAGATAAGATAGAGACCTGCAGTTCAAGCGAGTCTGCCAACTGTCGGTACATCAACAAAAATATCGGCCCTGCTGTACCGACAGTTGACTGACGCCACCGATGACCGACAATGTCTATATATATATATGGGGTCTAATTGCGTGCTTCGAGCTTCGATCGTGCTTCAATATAAACGCAATACAACCAACGCGTGGCATGTGTGGGGGATATTTGTTACCTTTTCTGATTATTATTAAATTTTAGTATGCATGTGTGACCATCAATCCCGCACAGTATTGCGTATTTCGAAGCACGCAAATAGACCCTTCACGTCGGCGATTTTTGACCCACTGTATATCTATATACACGCCTAGTGATTTACTGCTTCTAAAAATCCCTAGAATCTAGGGACTTTTTCAAGACGGTTCCCCTAGAAAATAGTTTGCATCAGTCCGCGAAATCCGCAACGCTAGATGGCGCTGATCCTAAAATACACTAGCGCTATCCTATCGGGACCCTACGACCCTAGCGCGCTTGTGTAGGCCTAGGGAATTTTTGTAATTTTACCACTAGCGCTGTCTGCATGGCGCGGAGAATTTTCTGAGAGTTTTATAGTTGTTTTAGAATAGATTTTAGAGGGGTACTTTTTAGTTTGAAATTCGCAACGCGAGATGCCGCTGATTGCAAACTGAGCGATTTTTAATTATTTAAATATATATTTTATTCCTTGGTTGACCCAGTCAACTCGACCGACTTTGGATGTTTGTTTGAGTTAGTAAAGCTTATTAATCGATGGTTTTTAATTTTTTTTTTTTAGATACAGTATCCTAAGTAACGTTAGCAAATTTTACAATTATTGTGATACTGTAGGTTTAAAAACAAATCCATGTGAACTTTAAATAAAAGGTTTGATTGCTATATTACATTGAAATATTAAATGTGTTGTAAGTATTTGTGCATGTTTTAATCACAATTAACTTTTACACATAGTTACATAGGTTCTTTTGTGTGATTGCTGTGGATAAATGTTTTCAAAAATGTTGAAGGAATAGGATGTTGAAACAAATAGTTTATTCAACGATAAAAATTCTTTATTAGTCTATCAAAATTCAACTATTTTGTACCTACAGTATTTACAAAAACCCAACTGTATAAAACAATTTTCATTTGGGCAATCTAATCGCAAATTCGTGATGTACAGTAAAAACCTAATAACTAATGATCAAGCTTTGAGATGTGTAATAATCACAAGCTAAGTATTTGAAGAGTTTATCAATTGTTCACCATTTTACATTTTTTATGTTGATCAAAATCAACTGAAAAAGTAAGTTGAAGATAAAACTCCATTAAGATCAAAAGCTCCTTGATTAGGTACTTTTTTCAAAGTAGTATTCATCTTTTTTCGCACAAATACAAGACTTTTATCTTTTGTCCCTTTGTCCCCGTCGTTTTCATTGAGTTCACTGAAAATGTGTAAAATTAAGTAAAGTTGCGTTAACATTTTTGAATATATAAAACGATTAAACGTTTGTTCACTCACACTTCGGGATACCCAAACTTTTCAGCGAGGAACTTTGAAAGATCGTCGAGAATCGGCTCTGAATGTAACGCAACGAACTGTTCCCGACATATCTTATTCATAACTTCGACGGTACAGGGGTGGGTCCAATAACAGTCGTGAACAGACACAAACGTCAAACCAGCATGTTCAATGTGTATGCTGGTCAGCATCATGTGACTGGAGTCTAAAGAGTGGATATAGTTTGGCGCAAAGGCGTTTTTCTGCTTCAGTGCGTTTGGCCTCCTGTAAATACAAACTTGTTTATCCCTCAAACTGTCTTAAAATGCATTGAGATGTCATTTAGTTTACCTGTAAATATCCGGAGTGAATATTGGATAGGTACTTTTACCCTTTTGCGACATAGAACTTATCTTGCTGTAAGGCTGCACTACCGGCAGCCCCAGTGGCGTTATCCACTCCATGTTTTCACCACGTATACTGCAAACGAGGCCGGCGCACTCTGTCAGCCAGTCCTGGATTTCTCGCGCACTTTTAAACATTGTCCTCAAAGTTTGGAATGTTTTGGTTACCAGATACATAGAAGCCTTCCACACGTGCTTATCCGGAAAATCATCCATGTCCTTCAACTGACGGGCTATTTGTAATCTTGCACCATACCTCGTGACCCCGTAAACAGTTGTCATAACTGTCTGCTTGATTACTTTTCTTTTAATGAAGCCTTCCAAGACATTGGCAGTCTCGTTGTACGGACAGGATGGATTCTTGGCATCCTCCTGTCGTCTTTCATCGACCTTAAACAAATTATTTGCAAGATTAAATCTAATTGATCAACGAAAATTATGGAAAAAGTTGAATTACCATTGCAGCAACACTGCTGTATACATCTTGGGGAGTGTCGCAAGGGTGTAAGTTTACACTTTCGGCACCTATTTGATCTCTACCTAGAGCTGCATAATGCTGAAGACCGTTGCAGCTACCATCCTGATGAATTGGAAATCCTGACATAAATTTTTCCGGGTTTGGTGATTTTAGTGCTGCTGCTATTTCCATGCATGCAGCCAGAGTTTGCCATGGCTCATCCGACGTGGCCCACCATTTTTGACCCTGTACAGTGGTAAATTTTTGGGTACTGATAGAATCATAATTTTATAATTAAATCAAGTTATACTCACTGTCAAAGGATTTTCAGCACTGTCAAGAATTTTGTCTATGTTTTCGTTGGCAAAAATTAGTCGTTCTCTAAGCGATTCTTTCTTTTTAAAACCGGTCAAATTGATGCAGTGTAGCTTCAACCAATCAAGGCCTTTAGGTCCCAGTGGCTTTTTCAAAGCAAATTCAAGCATTGATCTAGCCATATCTGAACCCAAGTGATTTAGGTGCGGTGGTATTGGGTATACGCGCCCGCGAAAATCCATATTGTGGGGTAACCAAAATATTTCATCTCTGTACTGTAGGTAAGAACAAAATTTTCTTGCGACATTAAGATTATTGTACAATATATAAGCTTACAAAACTCACATGATTTGCTAAGGACAATCTGTACAGAGCATCACACCACAAAGAATACATATCACGTTTTTTTCTATCCAGTTCCTTCCTTTCATTGAAAATTCGTTTCTTTTCTTCATTACTGGCATCTTTAGACGGGGGCGGAACAAAAGCCAGCACCCAAGGCGGTTGAGGTATGTTCAATTCAACGGAGCCGTTATCTTGAAAAACTTTGATAGCTACATCGAGAACCTCTGTATTGACAGCCCACGGTATGGATCCTAACTGATTCAAGCTATCAAGAGCTGGATACAATTTTCGAGGTGGTGCATTGACTAATCTGTCCCACTGTTGATTCTGTAAAAATAAAAGTGAATTACTGATCGTTCAATAAATTTGAGGCGTTCGTCACTTTTTTCTTTCATAGTCGAGCAATCAATCATAAAAATACTTACGCCCATGTAAGATACTCTAACAATATCGGTTCTTGTCACGAGGTATCCCCCATTATATATAGACCTCCACGGACGTGGAGGACATATTGATGGTGCAAGGGTAGTATCAAAAGTTAATGTCTCTGGGTTTGAGTTTTGGTAAATTTTTACAAGTTCGGGATGTGGCTTGATCTACATAAAATTTATAGATTTTAATTATTGTTAATCCTGTTATACGATGCAGCAGCGCAAGAAACACAAAAATAAAAATAATTACCGCAAAGACGCGTTTTACACCATACTGCCTGAGAGTTTTTGAAATTGCATTAATTTTTCGTCCTCTATCCATCTTATTGGGTCTTAAATCTATTGTTAGATCATTTGTTATGATATTATACAAAAATTTTCCAATGTTATAGTTTATGTTGTATTGCCAAACAGGTATTTCGAAATTTAACGTTACTCCATGTTTATTCGCTTCGCGTTCCAGTAACGTCCATTTGGTACGGCTGTTGAGTTTATCATCTCGTTTCAAAAACCAATCACAATACTGTGAGTACACTTCAATCGTTTTATCAATCACTCCATTGGATTTCTTTATTTTAGCCTGATAATGATAATGGTGTTCTCGTAAATTCAATTTTTTTTTCCAAGTTGTTAAAACGAAAAATATGTCACGTACCTCATACATTTTATGCACCTGAGCTCCCAGATTTTGACACAACGAGTTGTATGGGAGACTAAACGTTTCTGAACCCATTCCTATTTTTTTTACTTCTCTCATTAAAATACTGATATAGTCATCCGGTTTTGATAGAGATAAATACGGATGTAAAAGTATTTTTCTCGACCTACTAGTAAACTTTTCTTCGCACTTTAAGGACCGCAGATTTCTTTTAAATGCAAGCAGAGCTTGTTTTTCCCAGTTTTTTTCCAATTGCGCCAATCTTTTTTTCTAAAAAATCAAGCGGTGAAATTGACGATTCTGTTGTAAAAGCTGTATTAAAGAGAAAATTCTAAAATATCTTACCCAAAAAGCATCATTTTTTACTGATGAATTTTTTTTGGAAATATTTTTAACTGTAACATGGCCTTCCATTTCTGTTTTTATTTGTTTGTGTAATCGAGTTTCCAGATCACTTAGACTCAACAGTTTTCCAACAGTACTGGATGGTGTAGCAGAATCTTCTGACAATTTTTCTAATATTCTACAATCATATGTTGTATCTAATATGTCATCATAGACTGGTTGGAAATCCTTATTCAGTAGTTTTACCGTATTTTCGACATATTTTCTCTGATCCCGTAAAAATATAGATTTCGTAACTATATCGTTCAAAGTGACATTGTCGTTGCGCATTTCCAATTCAATTTTTTTTAGTATTTCTGTAAAATGATTTTGTAAGTTAAGTATTTTTAAAAACATGTTTTTACTTGATGAATATCAAAAAAATCATGAAGATCACCTAATTTTTTATCAACATTTCCTTTCATCCGTCCAACGCAATCAAAAACATATGTGTAGGTCTGGACATTAAGGTCAATACCTATGCTTCTTAATTCTTCTAAAATTTTTAGTATGTTTCTCAAATTTCCTTTCAAAGCGAGTTTTTCCATGTAAGCGTTAAAAACAGATACATCATTGAGATGAACCTTCTCAGGATACTTTATATTTTTCTTCCATTTAAATAAATCATCTTGAGAAAAAGGTACATCGCTATTCACACAAACATTAACATAACTTAACACGGCTTTATTGAACTGTTTCATTTTTTCTTGATAAATTAAAGCTTCTTTGGCTTTCTGTTCTTTGTCACTAGTGGTTTCTTCGGGGTGATTTGGTTCTATGCTGAATATTAAAAAAGAACAGTTTTTTTAAATGCAACATATACGGTGGTGTTTCAATTATTACCTTATTTCTTCTTCCACGGTACTTTGTAAATTTGCATCTGCATCAGACTTGAAGGAATTATCTACTAAAGAAGCACTTTTAATTATCACAGATTCATCCGTGATGCCAGATGCTTTTAAATCTTCAATAAAAAGTTCTGCATCGTCTTGGTGAATTACATTGATATTAAAAACTTTAGAAAATTCAGAAAAACTTGTATCCTTAAATAGAAAAAATTTTAGTAAGACTTTTCTACTTTAAAACCTTAACGTCTGACGAAAAAAATTCCTTACAGAAATGTCAGGCCTTTGGTTCATAGCTGTAGTTTCTGAACTATGAGTTTTAGGTAATGCTCCGACATTGCGTTTATTACTCATCGTATGCAACTTATCCAAAGTTATGTCAGGCTGATTAACAAATAGGGACAGTTGTTGTGAGTTGAGTTTTTGTACAGAAGCTTTTCTATTATTTGAAGTAGACTCTGTGACTAAGGAATCAGAAAAAAGACACACGGTAAACAAATAATCTACAGAGATGTAAAATTTAACTTAAAAACAATCTCAATACCTTCAAGGAGTTCGGCATACTTTTTGGTAATTTTTTTCAGCTTCCTTCTCCCCTTGGCACTCAATGTGTGATTGTTTATCATAGACGAGTTACATCTTCGTTGAAAGTTATTTAGAGCTGCAATCATCAAAAGCATCGTTATAACTTACCATTGTAAAACATAGTTGAAACGCGGCTCAAAACCCCCCTGCCGGGACAATGGGAAGAGTTGCACAACAAACGCTACATAACCTAAAGAAGCCTATAGCAAAGTTCAATGACGCTCAAACGGATAGAAAATAATCAAAATGTTAACCGAACATCAGTAGAAGACACAGCGTTACGAGAGAGACAGCTAAGTCAAGTTTTTTATGAAAAAGTTGTCCTGTTACGTCACTGTAAATTGTATTTTAATTGAATGCAAAGTAATGAGATGCCTTGCATGTACTCACGTAACAATGCGACTTGTCGTCGGAGATTACAAGTGACACAGGTTTGGAGATTCGTTGACGGCCAGTGCGGTGCACCCCGGATTCTTAAGAGCCGGTACATGTCGAGTACTTAGTGTGGGGCTACGAGAAGATGGTCTGACGATGCCGAATCTCGTGCTTCTCCCCGCAGTTGTCACTGCAACTCCTTCAAGTCTGCTTTAGTTTCCTTTGGTACAATGTTAATTGATACACTGGTATAAATGTATAATAAATAAATATATATACTATTGTTTCCTCGTTACCAAGAAAAATGTATAAAAAGTAAATGTCCGGGAACAAAACCGCGGAGTTCGTGTTCGCGCGGATGATATTGCATCGTGTGTGCTTGTTTGTCTTCTGCTGCTCGAGCGGCCATTTAATTTGTCGTCTGCAACACAGGTTAGGTTAGGTTGTACAGGTTAGACTTTCAGCGGGTGATTCAATTTAAATCGAATTTGTCAAGATTGCTTTAACGACTTGGTTTAATCAAACTTGGGCATAATTATTTTATAGATTTTTAACCAATTTAAAGAAAATTTGGTTTCCCAAAGAAAATGCACTCTCTTTTTGTCGAAAAAATTTTACATTCATCACTATGACAATGAAATACTGTAAGAAATTTTTATTCTGGTAGATAAGTATGTACAACACATTTTTGATGTTAAAGTTTATTGTTAAGTAGTCGAAACAATATATTTAAAAACTTTTAAAAATATTTTGATTATTTTTTTTCAAAATTGTTTTTTTATTTTAAATTTTAATGCACTGTTTTTGCTGAGAAAAATATATTCTAGTAGTATATTGTAAGTAGTGAATAAAAAATTTTTTGTAAGCATAAACATAATGCATTATACATTTAGGAAAATTATTGTATTTTACGGATTAAAATAAAACTGTATTATAAAAAAAAAAGAAATCAAAAGTTATTCTAAGTTACTACAATTAGTGGAGATTTTCGTCAATTTGCAAGTGTTTTTAAAACTATTAAAAACTTTGGTTTGTAAAATGTTGTGAGACAATATAAAACTTTGAAACAAACGTTTTTAAAACGTTATGCTACGAGGCTGGCTCAAATGTTTTAAAAATAAATACTTGAGATTTTTATTAATGTCATAAGTTTAAAAAAAAAGGCTTAGCCGTTTACGTTTAAAAACTTGGACCATTTTAAAGTAACAAAAAAAAATTGTACACTCAACATTTTTAAATTAAATTTTTTTAAAATGCACTTTAGTGTTGAATTATAAAACACTTAAATTTACAGTGTACGAGTCGCAAGACGGCGACCAACGTTTGTAATCGATATAAAAAATTACGATCCACAATCTGATGGTTGGTATAAATTATTTTTTCAAATTTACAAACTCGAACTCCCTAATTCAGAAACTCTCTCACGTAATCGGAAAAACAAAATCCCAATTAAAAATGTCCAAAAAGCTGTTGTGTTTATTAAATCTCAGTTGCATTTTCGGGCAAACAGTTGACATTGCAAGAAAAGTTATCCCCTTCAACGTGTGATTTTTGTTTAAAAACTCGCCTCTTACGACTCCGAAACAGCCCCAAGCTCTCATTCCGTACGGATACATAGTGCGTGCACCCCATCCCGGATTTTGGTCGTAACCTCGTTAAACGAGAAACGAGTCGGTGAATAAAAAGTCGTAACCCATGCGTTACGAAAGCCTTTACTCCCACGACACCGACCAGCCGGAAAAAAAAGTCGATGCTGGGAGTCTCGAGAGATATTTCGACGGATTTCGACGAGGTAACAACAACAACAACAACAACAACAACAACAACAACAACAAATAATAATAATAATAATAATAATAATAATAATATTACGTACATATTACTCAGCTCTCCTCGGCTCGCGGCGAGACTTTATTATTAGACGCGAGAGGAAAATTCGAGACATTCGCTGTATCATGCCGGCGCTCTGTTGCTTTGACCATACTTACGCCAAAACTCGAACACGTCGTTTGCTGCGTCCACCTTGGACGCCGAGCGTGTAAAGATGACATGTTCTATTTTTTTTTTTTTTTTTTTTTTTTACCTTGTTACCAATCTCCCCTTTCCCCCTTCAAGTCTCCCGATGAGCTTTTGAGATAGAGCTTTCCAAGAAAATCATCTCAATGAATTCTCATTGGGATATGTACGAGAGGGATTTTAGTTTTATCGATTCCCATAACTAAAGACACCCCCCTGTGACTATACGCATTGGCAGTGTTCAGCTTGAAAAAGCTTTGATTGTTTAGTTTTATTTGACGACAATAGTATAGGTATACTTGATGTATAAGCACTACCTTCATTTAGATTAATGTAAGTAATTTAAAAAAATGTATTTATTTATTACTTCCCGCTCGTCCGAGTGTACACCTCGTAGCGTTTTTACGTGCCACACAAATCAGGAGGCTCGTATATCGATGCCTGTGACGATAAAAAATTGGACTGTAAGTGAAGTTTTTTCATTAAAATTAACAAAAAAAAAAAAAAAAAAAAAAAAAAAAAAAAAAAAAAAAAAAAAAAAAAAAAAAAAAAAAAACAAAAAAAAAAAAAAAAAAAAAAAAAAAAAAAAAAAAAAAAAAAAA